ATTCCCAGCCCTCCACCCCCCACCCCCCCCACGCTGGGAAGGGGACACGGAGCCCAAGGTCACCGGTGGGCTGGGAGCCAGCCTGGCAAGGACGGGACAATCCCGCCGGGAGCCACCGGCTCCGGGCCCGCCCCGGGCCGGGGGGGACACGGGGACACAACCACAGCGTCCCCCATTCCCACCATCCCGCTCCACTATCCCTAAAACCCGCGTGTTCCCACCTTAATCCACGTGGAACACCATGGGGGGGGGGGGACCCACAGCGAGATTTTGGGGTGGCTTTTGACTCAATCATCACTTTTTTTCTTAATTAATTCAAGGAAGAGAAAGAAAGAAAAGCAACGGCTTCGCTCAACAGCCCCCCCCCGGACTCCAGGGGGCCCCACTCCCCCCGCGGTGTTTTCCCTTTTCTCCCCTTTTTTGCCATAAATACCCCCCGGCCCGGCCCCCCCCCCCCCCCCGCCCCCCCGGGGGGGGGGGGGGGAAGGGATTTTAGGGGCGTTTTGTGGCATTAACCCCATTGTGGGGGTGAGGAAACCGAGGCAGGGTGGGGAGGGGGGGGTCGAGGGGTCCCTGGGTGTGTCGGGGGGGCACAGGGAGGGGGTTTTTTTGGGGGGGGGTTGCACCCCCGGGGTTGGGCCCTGCCCTACGTCACGGCCACCCCGAGTGCTTTCGCTTTCCCCCGGCGCTCCCGGGGGCACGCCCAGGGTGCCCCCCCCAAAATGTTGATCCCCGCTCTGACCCCCTCCCCCAGCCCCTCTCCTGGCACTGGGGGCACCCCAAAAGCAGCTGCAGCACAGATAGAGATCCCCCCTGTGTGTCTGGGGCCGGGGGGAAGACCCTAAATCCCCCCCCATCAGGTCCCACAAAAGGAGTAGAGTTTGGGGTGTCCCTTTCTCCAGCCCTTGTTCCTCCCTGCGCCCCCAAAATGGTGCTGGGGCACAGGAGTTGTGCTCAAACCCACCCTGGGGACCCCCATGGGACCCCCCCACTGTGATCCCAAACCTCCCATGGGTGCAGTGAGTTCGTCCCGGTCTCTGCAGGACACCCCAGACCCAGACCCTCAGGGACCCCCAAAACAGCCGGAGAAGCCAAAGCAGGTGCCCCTAAAAGTGGCACCGCAGGAGCCTGGGGTCAGGGACATCATGGGACCCCCCAAAACTGTCCCAGAAAGAGCCTGACATCGGGTACCACATCACAGGGACCCCCAAAGTGCCACCATGGGACCCCTGAAGTGCCACCATAGGAGCCTGGCATCGGGTACCACACCACAGGGACCTACAAAGTGCCACCACAGGAGCCTTGGCATCAGGGATGGCAACATGGGACCCCAAAAAGTGTCACTGCAGGAGCCTTGGCATCAGGGGTGGCACCACTGGACCCCCAAAAATGTCACTGCGGGAGCCTGGCATCAGGGATGGCACTGTGGCAGGTGCCCAGGGTCACCCCCTGAGCTCCAGCACCACTCACAGCACAAAAACTTCGCGAAATCAACTTATTTTCTAATTTTCTGGGCTAATTCTGATCTCCCAGCAGAGCCCAGCTCGGCCTCTCCCCACTCCTGCTCACCCCAAATATTGAAGACCCACAAATATTTCCCCTTCCCCAAAGGATTCCCAAGCCCATCCCGGCTCCCTCGGGGCGGGATTTAGGTCCTGGGATTCCACATCCATCCCCATCCAGGGCTGCCTCGTGCCAAGATAATTCCAGTATCTCCTGCTTCCGCTGGAGGCAGCCGATGGACAGCGTGGGAAGAGCTGCTGGTGCATCCCAGCGTCCCCAAACCCCGTCAGTGACATCATTCCCGGCTGGAATTCCAGGCACTGAGGGCACAACCAAGGAGAGAAAAACGCCTGGAAATGTAAAGTGCCGTTTATTTATTATTTCCCCTCCCCCCCCCCAACCCCAATGATGAAAATATCGAGTTTAAAAAAAATTAATTGCACCAACAAACCGCTCCATCCAAACTCTCCTCCTCCTTTTCCTCCTCTTCCTCCTCCAAAACCCAGCACCAAAACCTATGGAAAATAGCCCAAATCTTTAGGAACTGTCCTCTTCCCCACTTCCCACAGAAAATAAGAGGCAAAAAAATCCATCACATTGAGCACCCTGGAGCTCCGGAGTGACTTGTCCGGGCATGAGCTGAGCCAGCAAGCACAGAACCCCCCCAAATCAGGGGTGTGCCCCCCCCAAAACTGGGGTATCCCTCCCAAATCTGGGGTATTCCCCCCAAAAATTTGGGGTATCTCCCCCCCCAGGTTTGCCCTGAGCAGGGCAGTGCCTTCGTCCAGCGCTGGAAAACAGGGAAGGAAAAGGTACATGAAAGGGTTTGGGGTTCCCAAGCCCTGGCACTTCATTTTTGGGGGGGGGGGGGGGGGCCGGGGGGGGACCGGAGCAGAGGAAGAGGGGGGTGGCACCTGCCAGCCTGGCTGGGGGAAAAAACAGCAAAAAAAAAAGAAAGAAAACCCACCCCCCCCCCGAAAATATCCCAAATCCTCAGGGGAGGCTTGGGGGGGTCACAGAGCCCTGGGTGGGGGGAGCAGGGGAGCGACTCACCCCAAAATACACACGGAGGGAAATGAGGGGGTGGGGGCTCAACCTGCAAGGTCCATGATGGGAGGGACCATCCAGGCCTTTGGAAAACCCTCTGGATAATGCAGGTCTGGCTGGGTGGGTTCATCCCCACACTGGCCCCGGGGGAAGCTCCAGGGGGGCTCAAACAGGGAATCCTGAAGCTCTGCCACATCCACAACGGATGAGGCCACCCATGGGATGGGGGAGAGGCAGCTGGAGAGGTGGAAAACCGGGGTCTCACCCTTCCCTGTGCCCCGGGAATGGCGGGATCAGGAGAGGGACCCCAAATCCTGGGCACGGCTGCGGTGACCAACCAGGCTCTGCTCCCACTTTTCCAGGCTGGAAGGAGCCAGGGAAGGAAAATCCACGCTCTGCCCTCATCCTGACACTGAAAAGAGGGAGCCACAGCCCTGTAGGGATTTGCCCACCTCCAGCTCCCACCTGATTCCCTCCGACTCCCCTTCCCTGAACATCCAAGCGTGTGACAAGACAAGGCTTGGAAACAACCGTTTAAAAGGAAAACCAGGAAAGAAAATCCCCCCAAAAAAAAAGCAGAAGTCTTTGCTCTGAGGGGCAGGAGGAGCCCAGTGCTGTGTCTCCTCCATAAATCACCTCCTGACTGCTCCTTGTCCCCAGGCAGGGCAGTGACGCCGTTTTGGGCCACCCCAGACAGGGTTTCTCCGTTCCTGATCCCGCTGATTCTCCACCCCGGGAGCGAAAAGCAGGGAGGAGGTGAAGCATCACCCCCCTCATCCCCTGCCACCACCTCCCACAGCACCCACAGCCCCCCACACCCCGCTACCTTCTCGTTTTCAAACCGAACGCGACGCCAAAAAAACCCCAACAAATTAAAGAAAAAAAAAAACCAAAAAAAAAAAAATCATCAACACAAGCAGCACCACAATTCCCAAAGTGTCAGGAGCTCCAGAGCCGGAGCAGAGGCCTGGAAAACACCACCCCCTCTCCCCTTAACACACACATCAAAAGAAACCAACCCCGCTCGGCCGGGGAGGGAGAGGGGGGTCGGACGATGAAGACGCTTCCGAGGGGTCGGTGCTTTGGCTGCTGGGAGTCGGGGGGGAGCCGGGAGGGCTGGGAAAGGAGGAGGAGGAGGAGGAAGGAGGGGCAGTTCTGTGGCGGAGGGAAGGAGAGGAGGTGGTGCCAGAGGCAGCTGCGGTGCCAGCGGGGCTCACACGGCAGCGCGGGTGGGTGTGCTGGGCTGGTTGAGCCGCAGCGTTCGGCACAGCCAGCCCGCGAAATCCACCTCCTCCACCTCGGAGCGCTTGATGAAGGTGTGACTCTGCAAGCACAGGGAACAAAAACAAAACAAAACAAAAAAAAAACAGGGTTAGGAGCACCCTCCCCAGCCCTTGTGCTGTGGGATACACCCTGGAGAGGGGAGAAGGTGCTGGTTTTGGGAAAACAGGGGCTCTTTGCAGGCCTGTGCCAGGGTCTGGGCATCCTCACAGGGAGGGATTTCTTCCCAATATCCCATCTAGCCCCGCCCTCTGCCAGTGGGAAGCCATTCCCCTTGGCCTGTCACCCCAAGTCCCTCTCCAGCTCTCCTGGAGCTTCTTTAGGCCCTGGAAGGGGCTCCAAGGTCTCCCTGGAGCCTTCTCTTCTCCAACCTGGCCTTGGACACTTCCAGGGCTGGGGCAGCCACAGCTTCTCTGGGCAACCTGTGCCAAGGCCTCACCACCCCCACAGGCAGGAATTCCTTCCCAATATCCCATCTAAATTTCCCCTCTTTCAGTTTGAATCCATTCCTCCTTGTCCTGTCCCTCCATCCCTTGTCCCCAGTCCCTCTCCAGCTCTCCTGGAGCCCCTTTAGGCACTGGAAGGGGCTCTCAGCTCTCCCTGGATCCTTCCCTTCTCCAGGTGAACACCCCCAGCTCTCCCAGCCTGGCTCCAGAGCAGAGGGGCTCCAGCCCTTGGAGCATCTTTGTGGCCTCCTCTGGACTTATTCCAGCAGCTCCACATCCTTTGGATGCTGGTGCCCCAGAGCTGGGGGAAGCTCTGCAGGAGGGGTCTCACCCGAGCTGGGCAGAGGGGCAGAATCCCCCCCTTCACCTGGCTGCGGGATGAGCCCAGGACAGGGACGGATTCCTGGGATGTGAGCACACATTTCCAGCTCGGATTCAGCCCTCCCTCACATCCACCTGCCCGGGTGAGGAGCCAGGCTTGGCCCAGGCACCTCAGCAGACACCGGACAGGCGGGTGGTTCCCCGATACCATCAGCGCCTTTGAACCAAAGGCGGGTGAGTCACTCCCTCTCCCTGACTCCATTTGGCTCATCCTAAAGCTCAGCCCTGGGAGTTTCCAGCCTTTGGAGCAAGAGGCTCATCAGAGGGAAGGGGCAGCAGCAGTTGGCAGAGCTGGTGCCACCCCACTGCAGGAAGAAAATTCTCTCTCCCCCCCTCACTCACCATCAGCATCTTCAGATCTGCCCGTTCCGCCGGGTTCTTAATTAAGCTGAAATGAGAAGAACAAGAGAGAAAAAAATCAATGTGAGACATTCCCTGGGGAAAAAAGTGGTTATCAGGCTGGATAGAGAGAGGTCTCCAGCTTCCCCCAAAGCCACTGGGCCTCCTGGCTCCTTCCCTGGCTCCATCCCCGCCAGCCCAGCTCCCAGGGAGAGCCGAGGGATCCGTGTCTTCCACGGGGATAAACTGGGCCCTGCAAAGGGAGAAAAGGCCCTAAAGCTTGGCAGGAATTAGTGGTGATCCTTGTAACATCCAATCCCTGGTTTAATGGGAGCTGTGGCAGCACCTTCAGGTGTCCCCCCACCCCACCAGAAGGGCTGGTGTGTTCCTGGTGCCTCTGGGGTGACTCAGCCCCAGGAATTTGTTCCACCATCCCCCCCTTGCCAGATTTAGGAGGAGCTGAGGCCCTGCTCAGCATCTCCCCAAATCAACTGCTTTTATCCCAAGCCTTCTCGAGGCTGGAGTTGCCAGCACAGCGCTGCAGACAAGGCAGGGAGGGATCACCCAGAGCCCTGCTGAGCACCTCAGGTGGAGCAGCAGCTTGCAGGGCTGTCAGGGAGCACGGACAGGCCTCCACCTCCAGCCAGGGGATGAAATCCTTACCATTTATTTACAAACTCCTGGAAATCTTGCGTGAAAACTCCACTTGGCAGCTTGGGAGGTGGCTGTGGAGAGAAGGAGAAGGGTTTCCTGCATCACTGTGGTGTTCATGTGCCAAAAAATCCAGTGTCACCTGCAGTCTCAGCAAGCTCAGTGCTCTACAGCCATCCTCATCCTCCTCATCCTCACTGGTTTTCCAACCAGGACATGGCTCTTTGCCATTCCTTATCCTGCTGCTCCGGCCAGAGCCAGGAAATCAAAATCCAAGCATCTCAATTCCCTCTCCAGCCTCACAAATCCCAGCTCTGGCACCGCCTTGGGCTGATGAAACAACCCAGAAATGATAATTGGGGTCAACTCCCATCCCCTTGGAAGGGGAAACTGCTCCTTCCACCCTCACGAGTCTGACAAGGGGGAAGGGCCTTAAGCTGAAGGAGGGCAGGGTTGGATGGGATATTGGGAAGGAATTCCTCCCTGGGAAGGTGGTGAGGGACTGGGATGGATTTCCCAGAGAAGCTGTGGCTGCCCCTGGATCCCTGGAAGTGTCCAAGGCCAGGTTGGAGCAACCTGGGCCGGTGGAAGGTGTCCCTGCCATCCAGGGGGTGGCACTGGATGAGCTTTAAGGTCCTTCCAACCCAAACCAACCCGGGATTCCACAACTAACAAACATTTCGGAGCCCACCCTGACTCAGCAGAGTGGACACATCACTCTGGCACCTCTGGAATGCCCGGCAGAGCCCATGGAAAACAAACACCCACCTCATTAACTATATAATCCAGCAGTTCAAAGATGGCCATGGCAGGCCGACTGTCCATCCCGTGGCCTGCGTGGGGGAAGGTGACAAAAACAGTGGTCAGGGACTGTTTGGGGACAGCAAAGGACTTAATTTTGTGTGCAGACCGTGCCTGTGGGACTCCTGCTGGGAGAGGCAGAGGCGACTCGCCGGGGAACCGAGTTGTGGTTAAAGAGAAAACCAACCACATTCTGAAATTTCGGGTTTCTTTCACCAGGCCTGCACAGCCCAGATTTATTTCCTAGCTCGGAGCACTTGGAGAGCACCATCTGCTGCTGATGGTCCCTTCTGCTTCCAAGGAAGTGGCTCCAGCAGAGCCTCCTTGGAACCCTGGTGGCCCTTTGGGTGAGAGCTCCCAGCAAAGCTCTTCCCAAAAAACCGCCTCAGGCTTGAAAAGAACTCGTTGGGGGAGCACCAGGGGCTGTGGCAGTGTCCCTCCAAGTGGGCCCACATTCCAACAGCCTGCAGCATTCCCAGCACGGGGGACACAGCAGGATGGATTTGGGATGCCACCTCCACCTCCCCACGCACGCCCGGATCCCGCCTGCCTCGCCCGGGAATTCCGAGCTCGGTTCCCAGGCGGCTTCCCTAAAAAAACCACTCCTTTCCCGGCACAACCTCCTCCTCCTCCTGCGGCTCTCCCAGCCCCCAGCCCCTCGTTCCCCCACACGTGAGGTGTTGGTTGCAGTCACACCACAGCCCCTACCACTGACGGGGCGTCCTGGGGGCCTGGCCCGCGGCGAGACGCTGTGGGACTCTCCCTCCGCCCCGTCCACCACAGGACGGCCAAATATTGCTTCCAGTTCCTTGGAGTCTGGCGGGGGGATTGGGTACCTTCCGATCGACAGCTCCACCAGGGACAGCCCCATGCTCCAGATGTCCGACTGCACCGAGTAGTGAGTGCCCTGCAAGCGCTCGGGCTGCAAGGGAAGAGCAACGGGAATGAGGTCAGCGGGATGGGAATGGTGAGGGGGGATGGCCACGGGCTTGGGATGGTCACACACGGAGCACGGGAATAGCCACTGACTTGGGATATCGACACAGAGCATGGGGACATCCACTGACTTGGGATATCAACACAGAAAGCATGGGAATATCCACTGACTTGGAATAGTCACAGAGAGCATGGGGACATCCACTGACTTGGAATATCAACACAGAGAGCACATTGACTTGGAATATCGACACACACAGAGCATGGGGACATCCACTGACATGGAATAGTCACACAGAGCATGGGAATATCCACTGATATGGAATATTGACACAGAGAGCATAGGAATATCCACTAATGTGGAATATCAACACACAGAGCACAGGGATATCCTCACATGGAATATCGACACACAGAGCATGGGAACATCAAAGGACTGGGAATATTGACAGAGGAACATCCACTGCCATGGAATATTGACAGAGGAACATCCACTGCCATGGAATATTGACAG